GATGAAGATGGACGAGCTACTGGAGAAGGCAGGGAGGTATGGGGAAGACCCCACGGAGGCATTCCTGAGGCGGCTGCAGCGGCAGTTTCCTGGAAATACAGCAGAGCGGATAAGAGAGTTTCAGGATTTCAGGAGGGGGCGGAGCGAGTCGTTGCTCACCTACTACAACAGGCTGATCAATGTGGCGGAGGATGTGACATGCTCAGACATGGGCCTACTCATTAGCAAATTCCTCGATGGGCTGGACAATACCATGGGGAATGGGCTGCGAATGAAGGTTTACACACTGGGGGCAGACGCGACACTAGATGAGGTGTTTGAGTTAGAGGAGAAGATGGAGCTTGCGCAGAGGAAGTATGAAGCATACTGGCCCCGAACGACAGAGAAGAGCCGAGAACCGACATGGGCAGCAGTAAGGACGGCTGAGGATAGGGGAAGGTCAGAGGGACGAGGGGATGGTAGGGCAGAGAACAGGACCTGCTACAGATGCGGACAGTCGGGGCACGTTAGGAGAGATTGCAAGAACTGTGATTGCTGTGGGAAGCCGGGACACTTGAGGAGAGAGTGCCCAGATCCATCAGGGTGTGAAATCTACAGCAAGAAGGGACGTGAGGCGAAGGACTGCTACCAACGGGAGGGGACAGCAAAGGGGAACCCGGAAGAGCTCAAACGGCTACAAGCACAGCTGCAGGCACTCAGACCAAGGCAGGAAGCGGAGGCAGGAACGAGCACCAGAGATGGGGATGACGGGGAAGTAGGGCAGGATGTGCAACGCGCGTATATGGCCTGGAGGGGAAGGGAAGAGATGGGACTACGCAGTGGAGGGGAGGACAGCCAGCAGGAGCACCGACAAAAAGGAGGAGAGAAGGGGCAGCAGGCAGAGGAGCCAACTCCAAAGGACGTTGTGGCTCGCCACCCGCCGGACGGGCTAGTAAGCCAGATTTCAGCACTGGTGGTGAGAAATGGGGCGACGGCAATGGAGGGGGAGAAGGACAAGACGGTGATCACAGACACTGGAGCACGGAGTAGGAAGTTGGGGAAGGTCATGGCAGAAGAACTGGGACTGATAGCACCAGAGAAGCAGCTAGCAAAGGGGATGGTTGTGACGACGGCAGGAACGGGGGAACTTGAGTGGATGGCAAGCACCCATGCTCCGACTGAACTAACACTATTGCCAGGGAAGAAACAGGGGGCACAGAAGGGTATGCCAGCAGTAGCAGAAGCGGAAAGCAAGGCAGAGAGGGTGGGGGCACAGACGTGCACACCAGAAGTAGTAGAACCGGAAGGGAGAGAAGAGAAGGCGAGAACACAGGCGTGTGTACCAGCAGCGGCGGAAGCGGACAGGGAGAACGAGAAGGTGGGGGCATGGGCATGTGCTCCAGTGAGAACGGAAGGGAAAGAAGGGAAGGTGTGGGCACAGGCATGCACATCAGCAGTAGCGAAAGCGGAAAGGAAAGATGAGGGGATGGAGGCACGAGCGTGTATATCAGCAGCAACGGGAGCAGAGGAACGAGACGAGCAGGTGGGGGCAGAAGCTTGTGTATCAGCAGCGATGGCAGAAACGGGAGAACTTGATTGGATGGAAAGCACTCGTGCTCCGACTAAACTGACACCATTGACAGGGAAGAAACAGGGGGCAAGGAAACAGGATGCACAAGGAGGGGTGGAAAGACAGGAGGAGGGAAAGATGAAGACCGTGGGGAAGCAGCGCCAGCAGAGTAACTGGCAGCAGCCCATCCGTCAGGTCAAACTGTTGGGCGGGATAGGAGCAGGGTCGGCGGCAGTGATAAAGCATGGAAACGCAGTAAAGCAGTGGATTTACCAGGACAAGGAGCCCGTCGTAAGGAAGATGGCAGAGCACCATGCCGGGTGGAGGCTGCGCGAGAAGTCCCTAGAATTGTTGAGCAGGGAAGTGGTGCAAGAGGTGATGGGGAGGAGGGATCCTGTTGTGAAGATTGTGACAAAGGCGGAAGCGGCGAGCTGGGGGTAGGTGGAGTTGTTGGTAGGAAATTGGGAATGCCAGGGTGTTTCTCGAGCAGGGATGGGGCTAGGAGAAAGGGACCTTCGCACGAAACTAATAGAGAACCGGTTTCACATCATGAAACGGCTGCAGGAGAGGCAGGGCAGCATAGTGTTCCGAGTAGAATTTTTGGATTTCAAAGGGGACAGCCGAGAGCCCACACGACAGGTGAGGAAGAGGATCATTCAGCAGATGGGACTGGGGGCGACAGATGGTACAGCACAGGTGGGGGCACGAGCTCATCGGCTCGGGACGTGCCGGCACAACTTGGTGCCCGCCCAATATCTGCAGGAGGAAATAGCCGGTGTGGGACGGGCTTGGGGGAGGAAGGTGCAGGGCATTTTAGAGCCAGTAAGGACAACGGCACGAGTGACTAGGAGGTGCTACAGCAAGCTTTACCCATGTAATCGGGGGGGACAGGAGGTACAGGCACTGTCAGCGCTGGGGGCAGACGAAAAGGGCGAAGAAGGGAAGGCGGGACCTGCTATGGTGTATGATCACAAGGAGGGCAGAAGGGCAGAGCCCACGGCTCTGGAGCGAGAGTTAGCCATGAGGAATGGAGAGAACATCACGGCAGCCCCAGGTGCGACTAAGCTGAAAGGAAGGAGGGCGTTGGGGAATACAATGAATGAGCAGATGATGAGGTCGGAGTCACTACAGGAACGGGTACAGGGTGGAGGGAAAGCAGAGGCAGCAGCGGTCCCGCGAGGAGCCTGGTCCTGCATGGAAGGGGAGTATCCAGAGTGGAAGGTGGGAGAGACAGTGAGCGAAGAAGGGAAGAAGGTGATGTTGGCAATATTAGCGAAACACAGGAGGCGATTGGCCTTACAAGCGGTGGGGAAGGGCAGGGTAAAGCAGAGGCAACGCAAGGGAGAGGGGAGAGTGCCGAAGGGAGTCTGTGAAGGACAGGAGGTATCCCTGAAGAGCGCGAAGCAGGACACACTGGATGTGGGGTTGGGGACTGTGCGATGGAAGGTCAAGGGGGTGCGCCCCTCAGGGGTGCTGGTACTGGACAATGAGAAGGGGGCACAGTTGAAGGAGCACCAGCCGAACACAGCTGTGATCAGAGGGACAGGGCCTCAGCGTGCTGGTCCTGTGACCTGCGCTCAAGCTGCTCGAGCACGGGCACAGGAGGGGGCAGAGAGTGGCTGAGGCAGGACAGGAACAGAGAAGAGCAAGAAGGACAGAAGGAAGGGCAGATGGCTGGCAATAGCAGTTTTCCGACAGCTGTCACCGAATATGCATGATTATGCATTGGTGTAGCAATGTTGAGTGTGCACATTGTAGGGCAGGTAGTTGGGGACCAGGGAAACTGACGCGAGGTGGGTAGGAGAGCACCGAGGGGTGGAATCCAAGGAACCAATGTGAACAAACCAACCCAGGCTCGAGCCGCACATTGAGAAATGCACGGTTCGAGCCTGGGCCAGGTAAATTCACTCTCTCACACACACCCGATGCTTTTCTCTTGTTATTCTCTCATATTAGTGGAAAGTTGTTACCTCAGATCTAGCATCCGGTGGCACGCCACTATGGGAGGACCTACGGGGTGAGGGAGGAAACTCTTTCAATGAGAGTGGCTGAGGCAGGACAGGAACAGAGAAGAGCAAGAAGGACAGAAGGAAGGGCAGATGGCTGGCAATAGCAGTTTTCCGACATTATGTTGCCGTGTCGTGATCCCATCCCTGAATCTGAGTTCGTACAAAAGGGCATCTCGCCGTTTTGAGACGTCTCAAAACACTTCTTCAAAAACGCACTGCACCCTTTGGTTTGTTTATGTTGCCGTGTCGTGATCCCATCCCTGAATCCGAGTTCGTACAAAAGGGCATCTCGCCGTTTTGAGACGTCTCAAAACACGTCTTCAAAAACGCGCTGCACCCTTTGGTTTGTTTATGTTGCCGTGTCGTGATCCCATCCCTGAATCTGAGTTCGTACAAAAGGGCATCTCGCCGTTTTGAGACGTCTCAAAACACTTCTTCAAAAAACGCGCTGCACCCTTTGGTTTGTTTATGTTGCCGTGTCGTGATCCCATCCCTGACTCTGAGTTCGTACAAAAGGGCATCTCGCCGGGGCATGAGCTTCGATTCGATGCACGGCGGTGAGGAGCTTTGAGAAGCTGCAGGCGATTCAGAGGAGCTGGTGCGCATGCATGCTTTTCCACGAGGCGCGCGCCCTGGCGCCTCCCACCATATTCCCGGACGAGGTTGATGCCCTCACCAGCCACTGCTATGCCACCGACCCACCCACCAACCTCCTCGTCTTCCCACACCCCTTTGCATCTTTCCCCCCCACAGGCAACTCTGAGAAGCTGGTGAGAATGCTGTTGGATGTGGCGAGAGCGCTGGCCCCCTCCACCATCTTTCTTGACGAGGTGGATGCCCTCATCAGCCACCGGGGGAAGCAGCTACCCACCCAGTTTCCCGTCTGTTCAACCCCCAACCCAACCCACCACCGCCTCCCCTACAGGTGATTCCGAGAAGCTGGTGCGGATGCTGTTTGACGTGGCACGCGCCCTGGCCCCCTCCACCATCTTTCTTGACGAGGTGGATGCCCTCATCAGCCACCGGGGGAAGCAGCTACCCACCCAGTTTCCCGTCTGTTCAACCCCCAACCCAATCCACCACCGCCTCCCCTACAGGTGATTCCGAGAAGCTGGTGCGGATGCTGTTTGACGTGGCACGCGCCCTGGCCCCCTCCACCATCTTTCTTGACGAGGTGGATGCCCTCATCAGCCACCGGGGGAAGCAGCTACCCACTCAGTTTCCCGTCTGTTCAACCCCCAACCCAACCCACCACCGCCTCCCCTACAGGTGATTCCGAGATGCTGGTGCGGATGCTGTTTGACGTGGCACGCGCCCTGGCCCCCTCCACCATCTTTCTTGACGAGGTGGATGCCCTCATCAGCCACCGGGGGAAGCAGCTACCCACCCAGTTTCCCGTCTGTTCAACCCCCAACCCAACCCCACCACCGCCTCCCCTACAGGTGATTCCGAGAAGCTCGTGCGGATGCTGTTTGACGTGGCACGCGCCCTGGCCCCCTCCACCATCTTCCTGGACGAGGTGGACGCTCTCATCAGCCACCGGGGAGGTGGGACAGGCGAGCACGAGGCCAGCAGGCGGCTCAAGACAGAGCTGCTTGTGCAGGTGGGAAGAGGGGGGTTGGCGTTGACGGGGAGGAACATGATGGTATGACGGTATGAGGGTGCGAGGGCGAGCACGAGGCCAGCAGGCGGCTCAAGACAGAGCTGCTTGTGCAGGTGGGAAGAGGGGGGGTCAGCGTTGACGGGGAGGAACATGATGGTATGACGGTATGAGGGTGCGAGGGCGAGCACGAGGCCAGCAGGCGGCTCAAGACAGAGCTGCTTGTGCAGGTGGGAAGAGGGGGGGTTGGCGTTGACGGGGAGGAACATGATGGTATGACGGTATGAGGGTGCGAGGGCGAGCACGAGGCCAGCAGGCGGCTCAAGACGGAGCTGCTTGTGCAGGTGGGAAGAGGGGGGGTCAGCGTTGACGGGGAGGAACATGATGGTATGACGGTATGAGGGTGTGAGGGCGAGCACGACGCCAGCAGACGCCTCAAGACGGAGCTGCTCGTGCAGGTGGGTGAAGGGGGGGGCCGGGGAGGAGTAGGGGATGGGGGGGAGCATGGGATATGAGGGCGTGTGGGCATGAGGGCATGAAGGCATGAGGGCATAAGGGCATGAGGGCATGGCGTTTTGAGGGAGTGAGAGCGAGCACAAGGTCAGCTGTCGACTCAAGTCGGAGCTGCTCCTTCAGATGGGGGATCTAGGGAGGCGGGGTGGAGACGGGAGAAAGGGGACATGAAGGGAGGCGGGGTGGAGACGGGAGAAAGGGGACATGAAGGGAGGCGGGGTGGAGACGGGAGAAAGGGGACATGAAGGGAGGCGGGGTGGTTGGGGTGTGGCGTGGGCCGCCCGCTAGTACGGTGTGTCTCAACCTCAACCCCTTTTGTCTCCCTGCAGACGGGCGATCTGCAGTGCATGCCCAACGTGACTTTGCTCTCACACTCTCACTGCGGTGGGTCTCACTGGCCAGCATCCCCTTTCACCTGCCAGCACCGTTCTGAACTGTGCTGTGCGTGCAGATGGACGGGTTGAGCAGCTCATCAGACCTGGTGTTTGTGCTGGCCGCCACCAACCTATCCGCACCTCTCTCACCTGCCTGCACCACTCTCAACCGTTGTTGTATCTGCAGATGGACGGGTTGAGCAGCTCGTCCGACCTGGTGTTTGTGCTGGCCGCCACCAACCTGCCGTGGGAGCTCGACACTGCCATGCTGCGCCGCCTCGAGAAGCGCGTGAGTCTGTCGGCATGACATTGCATGGTATGCATGCCGTGGCATGGCATGGTCATGTGCCACATGCCTGTGCAATGCTCCTGACAATTGCCGCCACCAACCTGCCGTGGGAGCTCGACACTGCCATGCTGCGCCGCCTCGAGAAGCGCGTGATTCTGTCGGCATGACATCGCATGGTATGCATGCCGTGGCATGGCATGGTCATGTGCCACATGGCTGTGCAATGCTCCTGACAATTGCCGCCTCCAACCTGCCGTGGGAGCTCGACAGTGCCATGCTGCGACGGCTGGAGAAGCGCGTGAGTTGAGTTGTACTTGCCACCGTGGCATGGCATGGCATGGCATGGCATGGCATGGCATGGCATGGCATGGCACAGCATCTCCCTCTCTGCTCTCTCCCCTCCTCCCATCCCACTCCCCTCACTTTTCATGTGCCCTCCCCACTTCCAAACCCCGGCGCCTCTACGAGACTCAGATGCTCTGCTGCTGCAGCCACTCTTAGAGTGGACTCTAAAGTCCTCGTAATCCAGAGTGGATCTAGTCCCCCCTTTCCCCACCAGATCCTAGTACCTCTACCAGACTCTGACGCCCGCAGAGCCATTCTCTCCTCGCTGCTGCCACGGCCGCACAAGGCTGCACGGACGGGCACTGGCCTGCACATACAGGCGCCCACCACGCACATACAGGCGCCCACCACGCACATACAGGCGCCCACCACGCACATACAGGCACCCACCACGCACATACAGGCGCCCACCACGCACATACAGGCGCCCACCACGCACACAGATGCTCACAGCGTGGGGAACGATGGCGGTGCAGATGTGTGTAAGGATGGTTCCGCGGAAAACGAGGGTGGAGGAGCAACTGCCGGTCGTGAATGTGTGGGGGTGAAGTGGAGAGGGGCTAATGGGGTGGTGGCGGTGCAAGCTAATGGCTGCTCTGATATGCCTCAGAATGCGATGGGGGCACGGGGGATTGATTGCAGCTGGTGCGTGGTTGCTCAGTGCAAGGAAATTGAGGAGCATGGGATAGGGGACGGCGATGGGGGGTGTGGCGGAGAGAGGAGGAGAGAGGATCAGGGCGTGAGGGAGGATGAGAACCAGAGGGAGGAAGCGGGGAGCAAGGAGGAAGGAGAGGGGGCAAGGGAAAAGGCGAGAAAGGAGGAAGGGAGGAGACGGGAGAAGCAATGGGAGGAGGAGGTCGACTTAGAGGGTGTGGTGGCGGCAACGGAAGGGTATTCAGGTGCTGACATGCGGCTGCTGTGCAAGGAGGCAAGCGAGGAGGCAAGCGAGGAGGAGTGGGAGAATGAGATTGGATTGGAAGGTGTGGTGGCGGCAACGGAGGGGTATTCAGGTGCTGACATGCGGCTGCTGTGCAAGGAAGCTGCCATGCGGCCCCTGCGCCGCCTCATGGTCCTTATTGATGGGGCGGAGAGGGTAGTAAAAGGGGAGAGTGGAGAGAGGGGGGAGAGGGGGGAGGAGGGGAAGATGGGGACTCGAGAGGAAGGGGAGATGGTGGATAGAGGGGCGACTGGGGAGCGGGGGGAGAGAGGGGAGAAATGGGAGAAGGAGGGTAGGGAGGAAGTGACGGAGGAGGTGGTGAAGGGGGCAGAGGGTAAGGGTAAGCAAGCGGAGAGGGCTGAGCCGGAGCATGTGCTTGTGCCTGTGCTTGGGCCGATCACGCGGGACGACATGCAGATGGCGCTGCATGTGACCAAGGCGCTGGGCAGGGTGCATGCTGACAGGTACCTTGCTTTCGACCGGGAGTTCGGCAGCAGATACACGTGAAATGATAGACTGATGTGCGTGCAGTGCACGCTTTGTTAGGCTCCGTAAGGAGCAATTGTATAGAATGAATTCATTCATGACCAAGATGTTAGGAAAATGATTCAGTAGAATGTAGCATTGTATATTTTTCCATTTGTTAGCTGTCATTGAATATCACCTAGTCGCATTCGTATAATGTGAATCTCAGAGTACTGGAACTGTATCATAGCTGCAACCAGAAATATTGTACTACTGTATTGTTATTCCGTAAGGACAACCTTCAAAGCGTGTAGCGGGTTGGTTTCTCGAGCCTCCCTCAAGACTGGTCAAAGGAGGGAAGTTGGCCAGACTGGTTCCGCACCGCATTTCTCGCCGCATCTGCCGTCCAATACGCATGGCTTCGCCTACTTGTCCCTCCCCTGCTTGCCACATTCCCCGCGCCACCAACCTCTCTCTCTCATCGTGCTCATCCTTCCGCGCGTCCACATTGGTGCCTGTTCCGCAATCCGCGGCACCGCGAATCCAACGACCGTCGCTGGCCGTTCGATGCGCATCTGACGGTGAGGATGGGGACGGAGGGGGCGGGAGCAAGTCGCGGCTGGGAAGCATCATCCGCCGGAAACACGCTACGGTGCAGGTGGGTGAGAGTCGGTGCAGGTGAGAGCATTGTTTGAAGTGAGAGACCGTTCGGTGCAGGTGAGACTCGGTGCAGGTGAGACTCGGTGCAGGTGAGACTCGGTGCAGGTGAGACTCGGTGCAGGTGAGACTCGGTGCAGGTGAGACTCGGTGCAGGTGAGACTCGGTGCAGGTGAGACTCGTTCGAGGCGCCGTAAAACCCGTACAGATAAGAGTGAGTCGGCTAGGACTGCTAGCAATCGACAGCGCGCCTCAGCCTTGTTACCCCGTTCTCCCCTCCCCATCCATAATCCCCCCTTTCCCTCTCACCCTCCCCTCCACTTCCTCCACCTCCCCTTCCCCGCGCGTCCGTTCCGCGGTCCCGCAGGCGCGACTGCAGCAGATGGGGCAGGACGAGGTGAATCGGCGTCTGGAGGGTGCAGTGCGTCTGCACCCGCCCGCACATCCGTACCCCGTTCCTTCCACCTTCCTCCGGCCGACCCCTCCCCTTTCCCACAGGCGCGGCTGCAGCAGATGGGGCAGGACGAGGTGAATCGCCGCCTGGAGGGCGCAGTGCGTCTGCACCCGCCCGCACATCCGTACCCCGTTCCTTCCACCTTCCCCCCTTCCTCCGGCCGACCCCTCCCCTTTCCCACAGGCGCGGCTGCAGCAGATGGGGCAGGACGAGGTGAATCGCCGCCTGGAGGGCGCAGTGCGTCTGCACCCGCCCGCACATCCGTACCCCGTTCCTTCCACCTTCCCCCCTTCCTCCGGCCGACCCCTCCCCTTTCCCACAGGCGCGGCTGCAGCAGATGGGGCAGGACGAGGTGAACCGCCGTCTGGAGGGCGCAGTGCGTCTGCACCCGCCCGCGCAGCTCACAGACCTGCTGCTGCGCGGGGCCCCGGGCGCGGAGGGCGGGGGCGGCCTGGAGGGGCCAGCGGGGGCGGAGTGGGGGCGCACGACGCTGGTGGTGGAGGTGGCGCGCGCGCGCCCGTCCGAGTCCCCTGAGAGCCTTGCCAGGCGCTGCCAACAATACGTTGCTCTTGGTGCGTGGGAGCATGGGTGGACAGGGGGGATGGGGAGATTGGGGGCGCCCAGGGAACAGGGGGGATGGGGAATTTGGGGGCGGGGGGCGGGGGGCGACAGGGGGGATGGGGAATTTGGGGGCGGGGGGCGGGGGGCGACAGGGGGGATGGGGAGATAGGGGGCGCGGGAGGGCAGGGAAGCGCGCGGCGCTGGTGGTGGAGGTGGCTCGGGGCTCGCCCATCAGAGGCGACTGAGAGCCTTGCCAGGCGCTGCCAACAATACGTTGCTCTCGGTGCGTGTATGCGAGGGTGGATGAGGGGGTGGGTGGAGTTGGTGGGTGCGTGTGTGGATGGGTGGGTGGGTGGGTGGGTGGGTTGATGGGGAGGGTTGGTGGAATAAGTTAGTGCCACTCAATTTACAGTGAGTCCCTTGTCTTGTCTTTCAGATCAGAGTTGAATTCTCCCGCTTCCTTGTTGCACATCCCTCACACGAACACACTCATCATGTGTGTGTCCTTCTGCTGCTCTCCCCTCCCTCTCCCCATTCTCTTCCCTCCTTTAGGCCGCTCCCCTCCGGACCGGATTCCTTACCCTTCCCCCATCGTCCCCCCTCCTCTTTCAAGAGCGGGCACAATGATGGTTTGCTGGCCTCCGCTTAGAGTAGAAAGAGCCACCGCTCTCCCCTCTCCCACCCCTCTCCCTTCCCCCCCTCCTTCCCCTCCCACCGCTCTCCCTTCCCCCCCTCCTTCCCCTCTTCTCCCCTGCCGCTTCCCCAGGAGCGGACACGGTGATGGTGTGCTGTGATGAGGAGATTTCCCCTGATGGCCTTGCTGACGTCAGAGCTGTATCCAGAGGTGTGCTGCTGCTGCTAGTGTCCGATTTTTCCATGCAAAAAAAAAAAAAAAAAAAAAAACCGAGAAACACAAAATTCCATGCCTTTCATTTCCCCTTTCCTTTTTTCATTTTCCCATGCTTCTCATCTATTCATTCTTTCAAGTTTCCCCATTCCTCCCCACGGGTAAATGACATCCCAGTAACCGTTTTCACACTTCCTATGTCCGTCTACCCGTCTCCACTCCACTCCTCTTCTACGCCCACCAGCCCTCCCTGGAGTGCCAGTCATTGTAAAGGACTGGATGCTACATCCCATTCAGGTAGTCCTGCTACATCCCATTCAGGTGTTTATTACTGCAACCCATACCATCTGCCACAGTACCACCCACTTCTTCTTCATCTTGCTGTTCTCGGCACCAGATCTTCTCTTGAGAAAAAAACAGCACTTTCCGTTGCACCTCCCATCTGATTCCCATGCCTCTAATTTTGTGAGTACACTGTTTACACACTGACTCTGTGTGTCTGCGTGGCGGTGGGGATGTGTGTTTGCGGCTGGCTGCCTGGATGGGTGGAGGAACTGTGATTGTGTGTGCGAGTTTGGGCGTGAGGGTGTTTGCATGTGCGGGTGAGTGAGGGAGTGAGAGCGTGTCTGTGTGAGTGAGTGAGTGAGTGAGTGAGGGCAGGTGGCAGAAGCAGCGGAGGCAGGGGCAGCAGCTTTTCATATAGTGCACGGGGTTCTCAATAAAGGTGACTCCCCACACCCGCCGCTCCACCTCACCACACCCTCTTCACCACCTTCCCACAGCCCCACAGAAGACCCTCTAAGACCTTTGAAGATCCTCAAAGATACTTTTAGATAATCCTTGGCAATGCTGCACTAAGCAGCTAGATGGTTCTCTTTGGCTTGCATGCTTAGCATTTTGACGGCCTCAATCCTGGCTGCCCAGAGCACCTAGCCGATACAGCCACGACCCACGATGACCCCCCTGGCTGTGATGCTTTGCCAGCCCGATGAAACCAGCTGCTGCTATCTTATCGCCTTGCCTGTTTGTACGCTCGTTTTTAGCGTGTTTGCGTGACTGCATGCGTACATTGTGCATGGATGCATGCATAGATGCGTGTGTGCATGTGTGTTGATGGTTGGACTGAACACATATGTATGCGGTGTCTGCATATGTGTGCATGTATGTCCATGTGTGTCCATGTGTGTCCATGTGTGTCCATGTGTGTCCATGTGTGTCCATGTGTGTCCATGTGTGTCCATGTGTGTCCATGTGTGTCCATGTGTGTCCATGTGTGTCCATGTGTGCATGTATGTCCATGTGTGTCCATGTGTGTCCATGTGTGTCCATGTGTGTCCATGTGTGTCCATGTGTGTCCATGTGTGTCCATGTGTGTCCATGTGTGTCCATGTGTGTCCATGTGTGTCCATGTGTGTCCATGTGTGCATGTATGTCCATGTGTGTCCATGTGTGTCCATGTGTGTCCATGTGTGTCCATGTGTGTGCAGCCACGGCTCCAATGCTCGCCTTTGCCTTTGGACTGGGAGTTGACGTGGCAGTAGAGGTGAGTCAACCCAAGTCAAGCAGGTGAGTCAACGCAAGTCAAGGTGAGTCAACGCAAGTCAAGCAGGTGAGTCAATGCAGACAATCTCACAAAGTTAGGACCGTAAATGAACCATCGTCGATGCACAACAACATCGTCAAACCCATCAACCCCATCAGCATCATTTGCATCATCAGCATCATCAGCATCATTTGCATCATCAAGAGCACCGTCACAACAGTGATAGCACCAGCCATGACCCCAACAGTCACCTCATGGTTTCCCTTCCACTCATACAATTCCCATCCCCATCCCCATCCCCATCCCCATCCCCATCCCCATCCCCATCCCCATCCGCACCACCATCAACATCATCAGGTGGTGAATCTGGAGGAGCTGAAGCGACTGGAGCCGCTCGCCATTCCCCTCTATGGCCTCAACCTCTCTGTTGGGCTCGCTGTGAGTTCATTGACGGCTGACGGTTAGCAGTGAGTTGATAGACTGCTGGCAGTGTGGTCGCCGACGGTTAGCAGTGAGTTGATAGACTGCTGGCAGTGTGGTCGCCAACGGTTAGCAGTGAGTTGATAGACTGCTAGCAGTGACAGTGAGTTTCAACCACCAAAGTTCCTTCTTCGGTCCGGCTACTCTTCGCAAATGCTACATTGGGCACTAGCACCGCTGTGCATCACCTCAAGGTGACTTTTGAGTCGACTCAAAAGTCACATTGGGCACCAGCACCGCTGCGCATCACCTCAATCTCTTTCCCAAATTATTTCTTCCCCTACTCCCTCTCCCCGCTCCCCCCTTCCCTCTCCCCTATCCCCTCTCCCCTATCCCCTATACCCTATCCACTCTCACTCCTCCTTATCGCCACTGAAATCAGCACTGGGTTGTCAGCATGGACACATGGTTGTCAGCATGGACACATGGTTGTCAGCATGGACGCAGGGATGCCATGTCAGCATGGGCGCAGGGATGCCATGTCAGCATGGGCGCAGGGATGTCATGTCAGCATGGACGCAGGGATGCTATGTGCAGCATGGTCACAGGTGTCGCATTGTCTTCCCTCTCCGCATGGGTCTCCTCCCCCACATCCGACCCCTCCTCCTCCACAGGTATCAGCACCCGGGTTCAGGCAGAGCGTAGCCAAGTCGTTGCTCTCCTCCATGCCTTTTGGAGCTCGCAGCGTGCCCTCTGTCTTTTCACCATATGCTATCTGTCGTCCCTCCCCTCATGGGTCTCCTCCCCCACATCTGTCCCCTCCTCCCCCACAGGTGTCAGCACCCGGGTTCAGGCAGAGCGTAGCCAGGTCGTTGCTCTCCTCCATGCCCTTTGGTGCTGCTGCTCTCGTTGTGAGTTGGTTACCATCTGCACAATGTAACCCTTTTCTTTGCTGGTAGAATGTGGTAGTTCTTAAAAGCTGCAGTACAGGTCAGTGCGTCTGTAATCACACGATGGATAGTGCGCATCTCTCCATGGCTTCATGCATATATTCATGCATTCTTTCGTGGATGCACTAAGTCGTAACTTGCTTGCTGATGTGCTGGTTACATGGTAACCACACAGGGCGCCTCATCTGTGGAGGATGTGCGGATGATGAAGGCAGCAGGTGCGACAGCAATTGTGCTCAAAAGGGAGGTGTTTAAAGGGATGGAGGGCGGTGGCACGGGGTTGGGAGAGAAGGAGGAGGAGAAGGCCTTGCAAGAACTGTTTGAGACGCTCAACTACATCTTGACTGGCGATGACTAATGTTGACTTCCGTTGACTGATGTTGGCTTGTATTGACGGATGTTGACCAGCATAAACCGACGCCTGGGAGAGAAGTCCTACTGTCCACTGGCGGTGTCCTGATATATTTTTATTGAGAATACCATGGGATGGGCATACTGGTGAAGGATATTTAATACTAGCTTATAAATCTGGAATATCCAGAGAAAAGAGGAGAGGGTCTTGGAGGGTGCTCGGGGGTTTCTAAGTGCAGCAACTACCGTATTTGTTTCAGAGGTGGGTAATGAATGTACCGATGACAACACAGGGAAGAAAGGGAGCTTACTCTGTTGTGGAGAAAAACAAAGGATTGCTTGCTTTGTAACGCATGATTTCCTTGATGAGTTGTTTCCTAAGCTCCACGTCTGAGATGCCTTCGCGACTCGTCTGCTGTATATGACACCCTCGGTTCCGACTCTGCTGCTGCAATTGTTCCTTCTCCTGATGATGGTGATGACATTGCTGCTGCTGCTGCTGCTGCTGCTGCTGCTGCTGCTGCTGCTTCTGAATGGTCTGTAAGCCAATGGAACCCAAGGCAGCACCTTCGGATCGAAAATAATACATTTCAGATACAACCAGCCCATGTGCTGCTGATTTTGTACCATTGACACCATGGCTTCCACATCCTAATCTCAAGCTTTCACAGTCTGTCAGTACTGACCCACCACCACCATCAGCAGCAACATCACCAGCAGCATCACCAGCAGCATCACCAGCAGCATCACCAGCAGCATCACCAGCAGCATCATCAGCAGCATCACCAGCAGTATCACCAGCAGCATCACCAGCAGCATCACCAGCAGCATCACCAGCAGCATCACCTGCAGCATCATCAGCAGCATCACCAGCGTCACTAGCGCCAGCAGCACAAGGAGCATCAACAGCAGCATCACCACCGGCGCCATCACTGGCATGAGCAGCAGGCGGCAGGTTAAGGTCAGGGACGGTGTAAGCCCGGCTTGTGTGTGGTGACACAGCCATCAATGGGCTTGACGACTGGGGAGTGAAGCAGCCGCTCCTTATTGCAACACCCTCACCTGCTGAAACACCCTCACCTGCTGCAACACCCCCACCTGCTGCAACACCCTCTCCTGCTGCAACACCCTCACCTGCTGGAACACCCTCTCCTGCTGCAACACCCTCACCTGCTGGAACACCCTCTCCTGCTGCAACACATGCCTCAACCATCTGCCTTGCACCATGATTGACCGGCTCAGGCGACTCAAATGGCCCTGAGAAGACCACAGTCAGGGGCTGCGGCATGGGCAAGGGCAGGGGCAGGCCGTGCGAGGGAAGCAGCGGCAGGGGCAGGGGCAGGGGCAAGCCTACTGAGAGCTTGGCATGGAAGTACGTCACCCAGGTGGGCCGGGGCGAGATACTGCTTGCACTGGTGGTGCCACCGCTGCTGCGGCAGTGAAGCTCCGGCAGGATTGTGCGTCCCTCCGGGCAGCCAGCCGCGGGGTGACTGGGTGTAGCAGCGATCTCTGACGGACTGCCGGCCGCCGAGCGCCTTGACTTGCCACTGCCACTAGAGCGTCCTGACTCTCCATCCATGGTGCGATGGCCAGCACCATCAGCAGCACCATCAGCAGCAGCATAGTGCTTCCGCTTCCTCACTAATGCCTCGTGCTCCTCCACATGCTCCACGTGGCCCTCCTGCTCCACGCGGCCCTCCTGCTCCACGTGGCCCTCCTGCTCCACGTGGCCCTCCTGCTCCACGTGGCCCTCCTGCACCACCTTCTGACGGGCTTGCTGCGTCCACTCCACGGTCTCTCCTCCAGCCGCCATGCTCTGCCCCTCAACCACCTCCTTGTTGTGCTCTTGAACGACCTCCGTATGGTGCTCTCGCAGCAGGTGCTTCGCCCACGGGCTGCGTAACGCCATGCTCGCCACGAGCCTGCTTGCGATAAGCCTGCTCGCCACGAATTGCTGGCGCGCTCCATCACAGCCACGCCTCACAGCTCCGTGATCGCTTTTGAGAATTCTCATTCTCGAAGGTGACTCAGGATCAGCTCCGTGATGACGGCCCGTGCTGATGCTGGAGCCATCCGGACCATGATGCTCCCCATGCGGCTCAAGCGGCGAGATTGCGTGCTTGGCGTCGTGAGGAGGGGTCCATGCGGCAGCGGTAGTGGCGCCAGCCATGACCGGTGTATCCGTAGTGGGGCTACCAGCGTGTGCGCACGCTGCTCTTGAAAAAAGCAGGCTGCTCTTGAAAAAACAGGTTTCTCTTGAAAAGAAAGCAGGCTGCTTCTGACAAAGCGGGCCGGTATTGATATAACAAAGTCTTCTCCTGATAAGCAGGATGCTCCTGAAAAAACAGGCTGCTCCTGAAAAAACAGGCTGCTCCTGATAAGCAGGATGCTCCTGACCTGACCAGATCTGGCCTGACCAATGCTGTAGTGCTCTAGCAATAGTATATCGACTCACAGCTGACGTTGGACGGTTGATTTGACTTGCATCCTTCAACGGAACTTACTCCGCACACAGGTAATGATCGTACCGGTGCAGGTAATAGGAGATGTCTGGTAGAAGTGACGCCATCGATTCTGGTAAATGCTCGTTTACAGGAACCCATCTCGACCCCCTGCTGAAGCGCTAATACCGGAAGAGAAGCAAAAGGGGCAGCATTACTTGGATGATTAGTCATGACTCAGCAACAGGCTGTTCGAATGATCGAATTGAGATATTGTCGAAATATCTAACCATCGGTTTCAAGGCAACTGGGAGGTGAGAATTCCCCAATCCTGCTTACTTACCCTTCACTCGACTCTTATCGTCACTATAACGGGGACCCTTATCGTCACAATAACGGGGGTAGATGTTACGGCGTACCTATTCCCAGGCATGGCCGCCTGGTACGGCAAACCTCAGCAATTATGAAAATGCAATGTATTGCGGATTTAGTCTGACGTCACAAGTCCAGTAACAGCGGAATGAAGACCGCCTTTTTTCTTCTCCTGGATTGCTCAGCCTGTCATCTCACGTGATGGCGGTGACGCGCGTCCGCTCTTAACTCCGCTTCTGTGTAGGCTACCCCAGGACGACTCACAACAAATAGGGTATGAATCATTTTGTGTAACGGATGTCAACATTGGGGTATGCGCTATCTTTCAAGCTCAAAGCAGGTTTGGCAGGCGTACTTTGGATGCGGTACTCCTGGAGAAACGGGGAAGTTACCTTGGATGCTGTAGAAATGTGTAAAGGCCTGCAGACTCAAATCTTGATCCGCCAGCGCCTTGTACCCACGGCTGACAGGGCTGGTGACAACCAGCGTTGGGGTGATGTGGGGAGTGGGGAACTCACTACGAAAGGCGGTGAACCCTATGATTCTTCTGTGCCACGTGTATTGCAGAATCCTGGTTATAGGGGTTCCATCATTGGGCAGGAGAACTACGACACGGCATCATTCCCATCACCGCCTTTGTTTGAGAGCTGGGATGAGAGAGGTCAGAAATGGGAGCTGGGATGCGTACTTTCCCATTTCGGGTTTAGTCCTCGCTCAAGCACGTGGTGATGCATGTGGTTTAGTCCTCGCTCAAGCACGTGGTGATGCGTGTGCACATGTGCAAACCCTGCTGGCAGATGTCAAGAAAGGATAGCAGTCACCCTCCATGCTCGGGAGCGTGTCTGAGAGCAATCCAGAGGGGCAATGTCAACTGACCTAGAGATTGCCACGAACGTGCCAGAGACCAAAAGTGTGCAAGAGACCCCAGCTCGATGATGTTCATTCGCTGCGTCAAGGTGAATCGAAATTCGTACTGCAATTGTACCGTAACTTCATTCCGTTGTGGGAAGGCGCTGTAGAAGGTTGCCAAACGTAGGGCGGAATCTAGGGTTAGAGCAGAGCGGACACCTCACCGCCATCACGTGAGATTCCAGCAGGCTCATCAAGAGAAGTCGGTCTTTATTTGGCTATTTAGATATGTCAGAGCGAATCCGAATCTCCAAACTTAGTGCATTGATTCAGCATGTGTGTCCGACTATCCACTAGGGCTCTACCTCGGATTACTTCCCCCGTTATAATCGCGGCATTCGCTCAATAGTAGGGGAGCAGGATCGGAAAAATCACATCTCCCCATGGCGAATTAGAACCTCTGCTGTGGTATATTTTTTAAAACAATCTCAATCTTATTCGAGCAGTGATGGCGATTACTACGAGGAATGCTCCCGCGGTTCCTTGCCTTCAAGCGCCAGCGAGGAGTCGCCATCCCTCGACAACACTTCGAGGGATGTCGACATATCCTGACGGTCGGAACCCTCGATCCGAGGGTTGACATTTACCAGCATCCCTCGAAGCTTGTCGGGGGATGTCGATGTTCCCTGCAAACACGCTCTAAGCACAACATGGAGCGGCTTTTTCCAGTACTCACGCACTCATCCACAACAGACTCAATCTGTTGCCTTAATTACTAATACCACCAGCGCTCAGAATTCCAAGCCTAGCACTACTAGCTGCTTGGGGAAACAGTTCGCCGCTCAGGGATTCAAGTTGAAACCGTCCGAGTGTGAGTCGATATTCTGCTCGTGCGCTGCCGGGGTCACGTCGTTTGATAGGAATTTCCAGCAACAGCCGGTTTGTTATCAGAAAAGGCCTGTTCTTTACAGTGTTGCGGAAAGCATGGCGCCGCGAAGCCCGTGGACGAAACAGCTGCTGCGAGAGCACCACGCGGAGATTGGAAGAGTTCCATTCAAGAGGACGCAGCAGCAGGCACGTGGGAAGGTGGGGCGAGAAGGCAAGCGTGTGCAGGAGCACGAGGCAGCTGCGGGGAAGCGGAAGCGCTATGATGCTGCTAATGACGACTGCCATGGCGGTCGCACCACGTCCCCAGATGCAGAGACAGGACGCTCCAGTGGCAGTGGCAAGTCAAGGCGGCGGCGCACAACAGCTGGACGTCCTCCAGAGGTCACTACCACGCCCAGACGGCCCGCAGCTACGAGCTGGAGCTGGCCAGAGGGACGTGCGCCCCTGCCAGAGCCTCAGCTTCACTGCTGCAGTAGCCGTGGCGCCGCCAGTGCAAGCAGTATCTCTCCTCGGCCCAGCTGGGGGGCATACTTCCATGCCAAGCTCTCACACGGGCTGCCCCTGCCGCTGCAGCTGCTTCACTCTCAAGAACTGCCCCTGCCTCTGCCCCTGCCCCTGCTTCACACACACGTCCTGCCACACTCTCTGCCTCTGGCCTTCTCGAGGGCATTCGAGTCACCTGACGTGGTCAATCATGGTGGTGAATGTGGAGCGGCGGGTGGGAGGCTGACGGTAGAGGCGAGTGTTGGAGCACGTTCAGCATCTGTGTCACCGTATGCGGTCCCCGCTGCTGACTTTGTTGTCCCTGACCTGAACCTCCCCCCTGCTGCTGATGATGCCAGTGCTCGCGCCACTGGTGGTGGCGCCAGTCGTGGTCTTGGTGGTGGTGATGGTGGTGATGCTCGTGGTGCTGGCCTAACAGCAGTCGCTGATTGTGGGCGCACTCAATCTGCATGTGAAAGCGATCGGCTGGATGGTTGCATCCGCGACGCATTATCAGCGTCTGGGTTGGTCACATTGTCGGCACCAGGGCCTCAGAAGTCAGCGAAAAAAGGCTGATTTAGGTAAAAAAGGCTGAGATTTCAGACCTTTTTCAGAATTGAGGCTGAATTTTCAGCATTTTTTTGGGAAGAAACAGGATTTTTTTACTATATTTGTAGTGTAAAATGGCATAAAATGGGCTGATTTCTCTGTTTTTCAGCATGGAATTTTGTACCAACTCTGATCTTTCAGCCTAGCCCGAAACCAATCTGAGGCCCTGGTCGGCACATTTGGGTGAATTAAAGGGCGCTGCCTTGAGCAGCGGCAGCAGCAAGTTGATTGGTTCACAGCTTCAGATGCAGCAGTAGGGTGAAATGGAGCTAAGGAAACCTTATCAAAGAGATTTTGATTCACAAATCAAGAGCTGCCTCTTTTATTTGTAACAGAGTATAGGCGTTGACAATAGTATTCCACTTCTGTTGTTGGGATTGCATACTGTATCTGGAGGGCATTTCGTTTATGATGGCCACGTGATCATCAGTTCCGTGTTGACGAACGGCATTATGAACGTCCCTCTAGGTGGCAGGGACTGGAGGCCAGCAACTTTACATCTAACTTTATGCCACTAAGGCTCTCACAAGTCACCTTCCTCAATAAGCACAGCCTCGTTGTTTGGTAAAGGAGGGTTGTAATTCCAGATGAGGTACTTCGGTTGTTGCAAAGAACCAAGAGGAATGCTTGTTCTGTAATTTGTGAAGCATGATTTCCTTGATGGGCCGCTTCCTAAGCTCCACCTCTGAAATGCCTTCACTATGTGTCTGCTGTAAAAGACGTTCTCCGTTTTGATCCTGCCGCTGCGACTGTTTCCGCTCCTGCTGCTTGTGCTGACATGGCTTCTGCTGCTGCTGCTGCTGCTGCTGCTGCTGCTGCTGCTGCTGCTGCTGCTGGTGGTGCTGGTACTGGTGGTGGTGGTGCTGCTGCTGCTGCTAGTGCCTCCTACATTGCTGCTGCTGTTGCTGAATCTGAGTTACCGTATTCTCCCGGACAAAACACCCCCCCGTAATTGTACACCCCCGGGTAGCTTGTGCGGGGTGGGTGTTATAATAGACCTCGTTTCTACTATACCCCCCTTTTTGGCTGATTTTCTATAACACCCCCATTTTCTTACGGATTCATTATTATAGTCGTTAAAGCCCGAGTACAGCATGGTTATTTTCAAGTTCAAGATTTTTGAGCTTGAAATCGCCAATTACATGGTTACCCTACTTTGTTTGACGGAACTCTCGCGACTCTGGGACAACGCCTAGCGACACTCTCTCCTCATTGGCTTTTGTGCACAATCGCAAAACAGAACCGAACGTCGCTCAGGTTGGCCCGCTGTTTGGCGCTCACATATCTTGAACGCCTAGTAGTACTCATGACCAGGCTAGTCCCTCACGTAAGTAGGAAGCCAGTGCGACATCAGCTAGTTCCCTTGATCGCGTTTTCTACGGCAACTCACGTCACTCATGCTGTCTCGCCAATAGCTGGGCAGCGCAAGCCTAGTGTCGCTGTCGATATTTACATACGTTTTCGCGTCACTCACACGGAACGTGTGAGACAAACGAGTGCTTCACCATGCTACCCCACGTTTAGCGCGCGTCGTCACCCGCGCTCCCCCTCGTCACCCGCACCCGTCCTCGCCACCCGCGCCCGCCCTCGTCTCTCGCGCCTGCACGGGATAGAATGCCTCCCCTCGTCATGCGTTTCCCTTCGTCCCCCGCGTTTCCCTTCGTCACCCGCGTTTCCCTTCGTCCCCCGCGTTTCTCTTCGTCACCCGCGTTTCCCTTCGTCACCCGCGTTTCCTTTCGTCACGCGCGTTTCCCCTCGTCACGCGCGTTTCCCTTCGTCGCGCGCATTTCCGCTCGTCGCGCACGCGCCTTCTCGTCACGCGCGCTTCCCCTCGTTGCGCGCTCTCCTCCCCTCGTCACGCGCGTTTCCCCTCGTTACGCGCTATCCTCCCTCGTCACGCACGCTTCCCCTCGTGACGCGCACTCCTCCCCTCGTCACGCGCTCAACCATTCACTCGCGATCTTCCGTAGAACAGTGTGTAGCAACTCCCCCATACGCCCTCGCTCCTTCTAGCCGCATTGAGTGCATACTGATGTCATGGGCAGAGCGGGAGGGACAGAGGGGGATGGACAGCTGAGGGGGGGGATGGTGTCATAGTGAACGAATGATTGATGGGCGGGGGACAGGAAGGGAACGGGCGGGGGAGATGGGAAGGGCAGAACGAGAAGGACAAGGGGGAGAGGGGGCAGGACAGAGGGGGGAGGAACAGGGGGGAGGACAGGGGGAGAGACAGAGGGGGAAGGACAAATGGGGAGAGACAGAGGGGGAAGGACACAGGTGGAGAGACAGAGGGTGAAGGGCCGAGTGGGGGAGACAGAAGGGGAAGGATGGAGGGGGAGGAACGGAAGGGGGAGGGCAGAGAGTGAGAGACGAAGGGTGAGAGTGGGTTCTTCCCTCACTCCCTCTCCCCATCGACCTCAATTCCCCGAATTGTTTACACCCCTCATTTTTTTGACCGACCTCCCTTTCTCCCACCAGCTCTGTTTACCACCCAATCTATTATCCTTTGCCTCACCTGCTTCCCCCCTCCCTCCTCCCTGCTTCCCCCCTCCCTCCTCCCTGCTTCCCCCCTCCCTCCTCCCTGCTTCCCCCCTCCCTCCTCCCTGCTTCCCTGCTTCCCCCCTCCCTTCTCCCTGCTTCCCCCCTCCCTCCTCCCTGCTTCCCCCCTCCCTCCTCCCTGCTTCCCCCTTCCCTATGCCCTGCTTCTCCCCTCCCTATGCCCTGCTTCCCCCCACCTCCGCCCTGCTTCCCCCCCCCCTCCGCCCTGCTTCCCCTCTCCCTCCGCCCTGCTTCCCCCCCACTTCCGCCCTGCTTCCCCCACACCTCCGCCCTGCTTACCCCCTCCCTCTGCCCTGCTTTCCCCCACCTCTGCCCTGCATACCCCCACCCTCATAGAGGTGCGCGTCACGCACCAGGTGAGCCTTTGCTTTCCCCATATGCCACCCCTCTACTTATCTCACCATCTTTCCTCTTCCCATCTCTTGTCCCTTTGTTTCCACTTCAAGCAGGACTAGTTCGGGCTAAGAGGAGCTTGGCAGTGTGGAGGGAGCAGCAGCAGGCACAAGAAAGTGTTGAGCGAACCCTCAACAGCTAGAGCAAAGGACAACTCTCACAATTATCCTGAAATGTGTAGAACATATTTCACAGGTTGCATACCTCAATGCTTGCCTAGGTGCATCATGTAACAATGCTCTTTCCAAAGATGGAAAAGAAGCTATTGCAAGGTCCAGATATTATCTACCGTATGTCATCAAAGCCCTGAACGTCTCAGATAAACTGATGTAATATGCTATCCCATCGTTTGATTGGTACACTAACGCCACAAACAAGCTGGAGCCTCCTCTACTTATTTGGTTCCACCAAGCTGCAAAGAGCCCCAGTGAAGAACAAGAAGATGGCTGGATGTCCTTTGTGTTGTGCTGTCAAGGGAAAAACAAAGCAGAAAGGAGAGGAGAAACAGAGGGTAAAGGAGGGGTGAGCAGGGCAGAGGATGGCGAGCATGGGGACAGGAGTACGCAGGGACCATCGTGGACAGCAGGGGTGAGAATGAGGGGAAGCAGGAGGGGGAATGAGGGGAAGAAAGGGGGTAAATGAGGGGAAGCAAGGGGAGAAAGGCGAGACAGGGTGGAAGGGGGAAAGTGCGGAAGAGAGGAAGTGAGCAAGGGAGGAGATTGGACGAGGGAGGGAACAAGGGTCTAGAAGGGAGGGAAGAGGGGGCTAGCAGGGAGGAAACAGGAGGCCAGCAGAGAGGGAAAAGAGGGCTAGCATGGGGGCAGCAAGGGGCTAGCAGGGGGTAAAGGAGGGGATAGGAAGAGGGGGAAGAGGAGATGGAGGAGATAGGAAGAGGGGGAAGAGGAGAAGGAGGAGATAGGAAGAGGGGGAGGAGGAGAAGGAGGAGATAGGAAGAGGGGGAGAAGGAGAAAAGGTGAGAGAAGGATTCGGGGGGATAGGGAAGATGGGAGAGGTAGGAGAGGAGAATGGATGATGGAGGAGAGGGGAGGGAGGGGATTCGACGAGGGAGGAGAGGAAACGGAGGAGATTGGACGACGAAGGAGAGGGAAAGGAATAGAGGAACAGGGGCAAGCAGCGGGAGAAGATGAGGGAAAGGAAAGGGAGAAAGGAGGGGAAGCAGGGGGGGGGAAAGGAGGGGAAGCAGGGGAGGAAAAAGGGGGAAGCAAGGGGGGGAAGGAGGGGAAGCAGGGGGTGAATGGAGGGGAAGCAGGGGCGGAAAGGAGGGGAAGCAAGGGGGGAAAGGAGGGGAAGCAAGGGGGGAAAGGAGGGGAAGCAAGGGGGGAAAGGAGGGGAAGAAACGGGGGAAAGGAGAGAAATCAGGGGAATTCGCGCCTCATCCCCTTATGCGCCTCATCCCCTTACGCGCCTCATCCCCTTCCGCGCCTCATCCCCTTCCGCGCCTCATCCCCTTACGCGCCTCATCCCCTTCCGCGCCTCATCCCCCTCCGCGCTTCATCCCTTTCCGTGCCTCATCCCCTTCCTTGCACCCAGGAGCGCGCGCTGCTCGTCGCCGGATCGCACGCTGCGCGTAGCAGGGAGCGCGCACTGCTAGACGCCCGAAGTGGGCGCTGCTAGACGCCCGGAGCGGGCGCTGCTAGACGCCCGGAGCGGGCGCTGCTCGTCGCCGGTTGCGCGTGCTCCGCGTCGCGAGATGCGCGCAACCTAAACCCTCGACCGGTGCGCGGTCCGCTCCTTCGCCCGGTGCGCGCTCTGGTCCCTGCCCGTTGCACGTTTCGAGGGGGCCCTATAGCGTGGGCTCACTTCTATCTGCAGGGTTGTACAATGTCGTCACGCCTGTACTAAAGTTAGCATTCCTTGTAGTGACTAGTTCCAACGGTCTCTCCGTAGTCTACAGAATGAATTTTCCGTTCTCCAGCTCGCCCTTAGCACGTGCGTCGCTCAGTTTTCCTACTTTTGTCAGCATTGAGTTGAATCAGCGGGGAGGAGATGTGCAGTTGTTACGAGTGCAATTGAGTGAGCGAGCGAGAATTGCACTATCCAAGCAAGATTACAATGAGCGAAGGCATGAGCGAAGAATATATAGCGAAATTACAGTGGTAACGGTAATGGACTGTGGTTGTCGCGTGACGGGCCTGGGACTGAGGTTGGGGAAAATGTCGAAGCGGAGGCCCGGAGCGCGGGTTACCCGCCGAGCCGTGAGGTCGGGGTGCGACGTGCGAAGGTGGCGGGAGGGTTGTCGATGCGAGGGTTGCGAGTGGTAACGGTGCTGACTGTGGGGCTACAGTGGTGTACGTGCTGAGCGGGGACGCGAAATAAGGAAAAGGAATTTTCCTTACACTACCCCCCCCCCCCTAAGGAGGTCCTCCTTACGAAAGCGCGTGTACATCCCTGAAGTTTCGGCTGCGCAGATACTCGGTGAGGACGGGGTGGTTTTTGATTCTGTCCAGGGGAACCCAGCTGTCTTCGGTGGGTGTATGGTCTTTCCAGCGGATCAAGAACTCGATCCTTCGGGCTCCTCGAGGGTCACGAACTCTGTGGCTCAGAATTTTCTCGGGGGTGATGATTGGTTCAGTCGGCGGTCGTGTCATGCTGGTTGGGCGATTACGTGGCAGTTGGCTCGTGGACGGTACGTAAGGGCGAAGCAGGCTGACGTGGAATGAGGGGCTGACGTGCCAGTCAGCGGCGAGGAGGAGGTGGGCGGTGACGGGCGTAATCATGTGGCTTATGCGAAATGGCCCGCAGTATCGGGGGCAGAGTTTTGGGGTGATGGGCAGTCGGAGGTTCTGAGTGTCGAGTAAAACTAGGTCGTCAGGTTGGTAAGTGACAAGTCGGCGGTGGCGGTCGGCATTACGTTTAGCGATGATGTTGGATTTTTTTTATTGCGTCTGCTGCCCGGGTCCGTGCTGCTTGTAATATTTCGGCGAACTGTTGTGCTCGTGGCACTGGGTTGTCGGGATTCGGGGTCATGGGTACTGTCGGGTCTTGTCCGTAGTTCAGGTAAAATGGTGACTGTTGGGTCGTGGCGGACGGTGAGTTGTTGTATGCGAATTCAATGAGTGGCAGCTGTTGTTCCCAGGTGGTTGGGTTGTCGCACGTGGCTCGGATGAGTTGCTCCATCGTCTGGTTTGTCCGTTCTGTCTGTTCGTCGGTTTCGGGGTGGTACGAAGAACTGAACTGTAGTCGCGTGCCGAACTGCTGCCACAGGTTCCGCCAGAAGTTGCTGGTGAATTTCGCGTCGCGGTCGCTGATGATCGCTAATGGTATCCCGTGCAGTCAAACGATGATGGAGATGAAGAGTCGAGCTGTTTCTTCGGCTGTGATCGATTTTTTGCAGGCTGCGAAATGTGCCATTTTCGTCAGTCGATCGACGACGACCAGGATCGCGTCGTTCCCACTTGCCCCGGCCAGTAACCCTGTGACGAAGTCCATCGTCACCTGCTGCCAAGCATGCTCTAGGGGTGGTATCGGCTGCAACTGTCCTGCCGGTCGCTTCCGTGATGACTTCATGAGTTGGCAAGTGGGACACGATGACACATGTCGTTGTACGTCGGTCAACATCTCTGGCCAGTAATAATACCGCTGCAGCTGCTGCCGTGTTTCCTCTACCCCGAAATGCCCTGAGGTAACTCCGTCGTGTGCCTCCTGTAATAGTAACTCCCGTAGCAGTGTGTACCCTGGTACCCAGATGCGGTCGGTCCCGGCTTTTACGTAATAGACTCCCTTTGCTGCTACGAACTGCTGCGAATTTCCTCCTGTGAAGAATGGATCCGTTCAAGACCCGTGGGTGAATAGGCCTGTCAGTAGTGGGCTTGTCTGGGCGATAGTATTGCATGGATCTGGGCAGTAGGGCGGGTCAGTGCGTCGGCGATGTTCGAGGCTCCCTTTTTGTAGGTGACCGTGTAGTGAAATTTGGACTCGAGAAAATCGAGCCAGCGAATCTGTCGTGGGTTGAGGTGTGGCTGTGCGCGGAGGTATTGTAGTGATTATGGTCTGTCCGTACTGTCACGTCTGCGCCGGTCAAGTAACAGCGCCACACTTTGAACGCGTGCACGATCGCAAGCATTTCGCGGTCGTGTATCTGGTAATTTTTCTCGGGCGGATGCAGTTTTCGTGACTCGTATGCGATGGGCTGTAGGCCGTTGCCAAAGTCCTGTAGCAGTACGGCTCCGATGGCGATGTCGCTGGCATCGGTAACTACTTCGAATGGGCGGTGTGGGTCGGCGATGCGCAGGACGGGCGGTGAACAGAGAACATTTTTCAGGGCAGAGAAGGCAGCATGCTCTTTCTCCCCCCACGTAAAAGCGACCCCCTTCCGTAACAAGTCCGTCAGCGGTGCACTTAACCGTGCCATGTCGGGGACGAACCGACGCACGTAATTGACGAACCCCAAAACGCTCTGTAGTTCCGTGATATTCGTCGGGGGGTGCCAGGCTTTGACCGTGTCTAACTTTTTTGGGTCAATTTCGACCCCAGCCTCCGAAAAAACGTGCCCCAAAAACTCAAGTATGTCCTGAAAAAACTCGCACTTGGAACCCTTTGTCAGTAGTCGATGCTCGTCTAAAATCTTAAACACTGCTTCCAGATCTGCTAAGTGCTGCTGCTTGTCGCGACTGTAGACGAGGATGTCGTCGAGGTAAACTATCACGCATTTATCTAAAAGTGGCCTAAACGCCTCGTTCATGGTCATCTAAAATGTCGGTGGTGCGTTGGTCAGCCCGAAGGGCATCACAGTGTACTCGAATGACCCGTATCTAGTCCGGAAAGCTGTTTTGGCGAAGTCCGATGGATCGACCCTAATGTGATGGTAACCCCCCCGTAAATCGATTTTCGAAAAAACCCGTGCTGTTCGCAGTTGGTCGATCAGTTCGTCGGCGCGGGGAATGGGGTACCGCGACTTGACTGTTACCCTATTGAGCGCTCGGTAATCGATGCACATGCAAAACCCTCCGTCTTTTTTTGGCGTGAACAGTATCGGTGCGGCGAACGGTGACGAGCTCGGTCGGATGAATTTCTTCTCTGACAAGTAATCTAACTGCTTCCTCAGTTCATCGAGCTCGGGTTGTGTCAGTCTGAGCTGGCGCTGTACAGTTGGCTGTGCCCCCGGTTCTAATTCTATTCGGTGGTCATGTGCTCGCTGAGGTGGCAGCCCTTCCGGTAAGTCGTCGGGAAAAATCCCGGGGTATCGTTTCAACAGTTCCTGTAGTTCTGCCAGCAGTTTCTGTTGGTGCAACCCTACGGTTTGCACTCGGCTTGTTGTCCGTGTGCGTGAATGTGTGTGTGTATGGAATGGTATGAGGGCATGGGATAATATATATTTCATGCTTATAATTGTGTGTGAATGTTGAGTCATGATGTCGAGTGTGTGTGTCGAGTCAATAGCGAGTTATCGCTAGACGCGTGTTACGCGGTCGTTTGTGTCTCGCGCGCGGTTTCTATTTTGTCGTGCGCGGTTTCTATTTTGTCCTGTGTCGAACGTTCGGCGTGTCGCAGGTGTGTGCAGCAGACCCATCAAGAACTCAAGGATGAGTTTGTGATGAAGAGCCCGAGCCTTGGTGTCAAGCCTCGAGTGATTTCGAAGCTTGCCAAAAGGGTACACCTCAAGATATTGAAGATAGTTACATTACTTTGTGTAGTGTAACATTTCACTTGGTGTAGGCCCTAGTGAAGGGTAGTTTCGAGACCCTTCGTGGTTGGGGACAGTGTGGCACTGTTCCACATCACTGTACCTCGGCTCTTGGGGTTTGTAGGAGCTGGGAGTCATTCCCAACTCGTAACTCTTCCTATCTTGTGTTCTAAGACTATAGTGGCTGCCATAGTACCGTTCGTTCAAACCGACGCTGTGTCGTCAATTCTTTATCAAATCGTGCAATCTAAACTGCTAATTGTAGACGACGTGAAGACGCTCCAGATCCAATTTGAATCAGGTCATTTGCAGCTGTGAGCAGAACGCTATCAACGTTTGAAGCCGCTGTGCAGAAATCCGTCTGTGCTCTCTATCTTTCGTTTTAGGCACATTCAAGCCTATTGTGACTATAACAAGTGGTATCAGAGCCCTTGGAGCAGTTTCGACAATGTCTGGACCTGAGGAAAGGGGTGGCAGAGGTGCTGGTGGCAGTGGAGAAGCTCAAGCTCAAGGCCAACCCCGTGATTCAGCCATGGCGCCCATGCAACCAAGTCTTGGCCCACCTAGGGATGAGCCTAGGGTGTTTGGGCTTGACAAGTTCAACGGTGACAACTTTGCTGAATGGTCCTTCAAGATGGAGAACATCTTTGACCACTATGACCTGCTGGAGGTGATGGAAGGAACGGAGAAGCGCCCCGAGAACGACCCGGAGAAGAGCCCGTGGGTGCGGAAGAGCGCACAAGGCTATCTCTTACTTGGGCAAGCGTTGGGGAGCAGTCAGATCCGTCACATCAAGCCATTCCAGCGTGAACCAGAGAAAGGACCAAAGGCATGGGCTGCTCTCAAGGGTGTACATGCTCCTGCAACAGCGGCGGTAGCGGTGGTGTTGGAACGGCAAATGGCGGCACTACGAATTGAAGAAGACGAAGCGGTTGAAGAAGGGGTGCAGAAATTCTTCGACTTGTTGACGCGGCTTGAGGGAGCTGATTTG